CCCCTGGATCGACAGTCACCGGTTACGACTCAATTTGTACTGACCTTAATTCTACCTCCTCGACTTCTTTCAAATAGTTACCTCCTTACATACCTGTAAAACACACGCACAAACAAACACACACACACACACATATACATATGTGTGTGTGTATGTATATATGTACGCACTTATGTATTTATGTATGTATGCGTGTATATGTGTGTGAAAAAGGGACGGAGGGAGGGAAGTGAAGAGTAAGAAAGCGGTAATCGGGAAAATGCCCGAAACGGGGTCGATCACGCTGCCTAATAAATTGGAAAAGCACCCCCCCCCCACCCCCACAAAAAAAAAAAAAAAAACTTGACACACGGAGACTGCCCGCATGTAATTAACACTGATTGCAATTACACAATTACCCATAATAGCCAGTTCAACGGGCGCATTGCAGCCGACATACGAGCCTCCTGCTGCTGTTGCTGCTGCTGGGGGCGAGGCCTTTCTCGGCTCCCCTCCCCCTCCCCCTCTCCATTCTGCGCTCTCTTATCTCTATTCGTCATTCTTCGCCGTCTGTCTAATTCCCTTCGCTTGCCTTTTCACCTTTTCCTTCTTCTTTTCTTTGTCTCTCTCTCTCTTCTCTATTTCATTTTCTCTCTTGCTTTCCTCGATTACTCTACCCGTCCTCTCTCCCCCTATCTCTCTCTCTCTCTCTCTCTCTCTCTCTCTCTCTCTCTCTCTCATTATTCTTCCCTATCTATCCAATTCCCCTCCTTCCTCGTCTCGTTTTTCTCCCACGCTCTTATCTCCCCTCGTTATGTTTCTCTATCTGTCTAATTCCCCTCGTTCGTCTTCTCTCTCTCTCTCTCTCTCTCTCTCTCTCTCTCTCTCTCTCTCTCTCTCTCTCTCTCTCTCTCTCTCTCTCTCTCTTCCTTTCATCCTTCCTCTCTCTTTCCTTCTCCTCCTTCCTATCTCTCTCTTTATTCACATTCCTCTTCCTTCTACCGTATATACCGTATGTATTTGAGCGACGGCCCTTTCGCACACATCCCCCTGTACGTGTGACCCTGTGCTCGGGTACGTACGCACACGGCCTCGCGAGCAATCATGTGCACCTATGCCCTGTTCGTGTGCGTGTACATCTAAAGGCGGCAATTCGTGCAGAAACGTTGCATGATAATTATCTCCTTCTCTTTCTCTTTTCTGTTATTCCGCGCATGATTAATGGGCCTCATTGCCATATTTTCGAGTGCCGGACAGAGAGGAGGGAAGGAGGCAGGGGGAGAGGGTGAGGGTGAGGGTGAGGGAGGGAGGGAGAGAGGGAGAGGGAGGGGGAGAGGGTGAGGGTGAGGGAGAGGGAGGGAGGGAGGAAGGGAGAGAGGAAGGGTGAGAGGGTGAGGGAGAAAGGAGAGGAGGAGGAGGGGGGAGAGGGTGAGGGAGGGAGGGAGGAAGGGAGAGAGGAAGGGTGAGAGGGTGAGGGAGAAAGGGAGGGTGAGAGGGAGGGGGAGATAGAGGAAGTGAGTGAGTGAGTAAGTGAGAGAGAGAGGTGGGGGGGAGGGACCAACGCTGTACTTCTTGCCCATAGAAACAGGACTATTTTACCCTACATGAACCTAGAACAGAAATCACGCTTCATCTTCCCCTCCCTCAAACCCTACTCCCCCCCTCAACCCCAAACCCTCCACCCCCCATTTCCCTTCTCCTCCCCGATCACCCGCCATCCCCCACAACCTCCTCTTCATCCTTCATTCTTATTACAACCTCCTCTCCTCCTCCTCCTCTTCTTCTACCTCTCCTTCTCCTTCTCCTTCTCCTTCTCCTCCTCCTCCTTCTTCTTCTTCTTCTTCTTCCTCCACCACCACCTCCTCTTTTTCTTCTTCTCCCTCTCCCTCTCCCTCTCCCTCTTCCTCCTCCTCCTCTTCCTCCTTATCCCCATCCCCCCATCTTCCCCATCCCCCTACCTTAGACGTCCCCCCCCCATTCCAGACTACAGCCAACATGAAAAGATATTAATTATAAAGAAAGCGATATCGCCACCACAAGCAAGCAACAGCGGGGCCGAGTTCAAAGCTTTCCCACGCAGAGACGGCGGTGGAGGCGGCGACGAAGGAGACGGAGGAGGAGGAGGCGGCGACGGAGGAGGAGATGGAGGCGCGAGTGACGGAGGAGGAGGAGGAGGAGGAGGAGGAGGGGGGAAGGAGGCGAAGACGAGGACGAAAGAATTACTAAAAGAAGGGGGCGAAGTTGGAAATGAAAGAGGTGTCGAGGAGAGGAGAAGATAAAGGAGGGAACGAAGGAAGTAGAGGAAAAGGTCTTTCTTCCAGCAGCATTCGTCTTTATCTTCCGATTTAAAACAGACTGCCAGATTAACAGATGGACAAACAGACAGGAAGTGAGATGTATAGGAAGAAAAAGAGGGAAAGGAAAAAGAGAAAAGAAAGAAAAATAGAGATGAGCATGCAAGGTGAGTAAGCTAGAGGGAGGGGGGGGGGTAAACTAATAGATGGAAAGGAAGATAAAGCTACACAGATAAAGTGATTAAAAACCGATCTTGAGAAAGAAAGAAAACGAATAATAATATGGAGTCGCACTGATGCTAGTCTTCATTCAATCCCCTAGTTAAGTAGTTAGTTTTTTGTTTCCCTTCCAAATCACTACTTTTTTCTCGTCTTCCCTACTCTTCCTTCTCCCTCTCTTCTCTCCTTCTCCCTTCCTTCTCTCCTTCCGCTCTTGTCTCCATCCTTCTCCTCTATCACCACTCTCTGCCATATAAAAAAAGAAAAGAAAGAAAGAAAGAAAGAAAGAAAGAAAGAAAAAAGTTCTTTCTCGATTCCTTGTTGATGACATCTTACTACCTCACCCCCCTAACTCCCCTTCCCCCCCCTCCTCTCGAGATCTTCCATCAAGCTTATAACAAGCTCCATTCACCCCAGCGTTTTTTCTCTCTCTCTCTTTCTCTCTCTCTCTCGTTCTCTCCCTCTCTCTCGTTCTCTCCCTCTCTCTCGTTCTCTCCCTCTCTCTCCTCTTCTCCCTCTCTCTCCTCTTCTCCCTCTCTCTCCTCTTCCCCCTCTCTCTCCTCTTCCCCCCTCTCTCCTCTTCTCCCTCTCTCTCCTCTTCTCCCTTTCTCTCCTCTTCTCCCTCTCTCTCCTCCTCTCCCTTTCTCTCCTTCTCTCTCTCCCTCCCTCCCTCTCTCCCTCCCTCCCTCCCTCTCTCTCTCCTCTTATTCTTCCTCTTCTTCTTCCTGTTCCTCCTTCTTCATCCGTCCCTCCTTCGCAGCCTCCCCCCCCCCAGCAGCTGCTGCAAATGCTGTGCTGGGTCCTGCTTCGTTTAACTCGGCGTGATTCTCTTTGATGGTTTCTGTGTGTGAGGTGTCTATGTGTTTCTTTGTCGGTGTGTGTGTGTTTGTGCGCGGATGTCTATAATTACGTACACGTGTGCGTGCATATCCTGTACATATAAATGGACGTACGCGCACCAACAGGCATGCACGCACATGCCCTCTCACACGCACGCACGCACACACATGCACAATTAGGAGGAAACCAGGAAAATGAAAACAACAGCAAGAAAAGCAAAGAAAGAGCGGAGAGCCGCGCAAAATCAGTGCCATGATGACAAGATAATGGCATTCGTGAGTGCCAGCGGCGCTTACGATGATGGAGGACTTGACGCCTGCTTCCCCTCCCCCCTTTCCCCCCCTGCCCCTTACTCCCCTAACTACACACCTGGCCCTCCCCAGCCCCAGGCCTATAGCCTTGTTTGTTTGTCTCTCTGTTTCCTTCTCCCAAAGAACATCTCCTCACATCTTTCTCCTCTTGTTTCTCACTCTTTAATCTTTCCTGACCCTTCCCCACTCCCATCTTCTCTCTCTCTCTCTCTCTCTCTCTCTCTCTCTCTCTCTCTCTCTCTCTCTCTTTCTCTCTCTCTCTCTCTCTCTCTCTCTCTCTCTCTCTCTCTCTCTCTCTCTCTCTCTCTCTCTCTCTCTCTTTCTTTCTTTTTCTTTCTCTCTCTCTCCCTCTCTCTCTTTTCCTCCGTCACTCTCTGTCAGTCTGTTTCCCCCCCCCCCTCCTCCACTGCCCAGAGTTCGTGGGAACACGAGAGGGGTCGCGAGGGGAAACAACCGAGGGGAACAGCCGAGTTACGCAATCAAGGAGGTCATTAAGAGGCTCATTACAGGTTATATACCTATCACCAATGGTTCATCTAGCTCGTTTACACACAACACACGCACACACACACGGACAGACACATGCATGTATGATCGCACATGCATACACATAAACAGCAAATTTATCACGGCATTTGTACGGGCAAGACAAGCACACGTGAGTGGGGAGGGAGGGAGGGAGGGAGAGAGAGAATGAGAGAGAGAATGAGAGCAACAACGTTGGGAGGAGTGAGGCAAACAGGAGAAGGGAAACACCAATACTAAAAAGAGCTGTAAAACATTCGCAGTTGTCAATGGATTTGCAACTCAAAATACAGCCCCTGGGGAACCTTTCTTCCACTTTCACCCTCTGACGAAAGAAGACTCGCCCAAAGGAAGTCTAACTTGGCTTCACTTCATTTCATTTCACTTAACAACTAATGCTTACAGCTCAATATCAAATATACTTGCAACAACAACAATGACAATAACAACAACACTAACAATAATGAAAACAATGATGATAACGATAATAACGATAATAATAACAAAACAGAATGAATATAACAACAGCAATAACAAAACGTACTTTACCTGTAATATATAAACACCAAAATGCAGACAGCTTCAATAACAAAACAAAACAGTGGATCAAGCAGCAAAAACAAAATAAGCAATGACCTAAGAAAACCGCCTTCGGAACAAACATTCTGACCAAACAAAATACCTCCCCCCCCTGAAAAAAACACCCCATCAAACTAACCCAAAGTATACCCTCCCCCCCCCCCCCACAAAAAAAGAACATCAAATAAAAATGAGTGAAAAACGATAATAAGTCAATAAGCAAACATCTCCAAAACGCCATAGGCCTACTCACCTCGCTCTTCTCCCTGGCCCTCTGCAGGATGCGCTCCTCGATGGTTGCCTTGCAAACCAGCCTGTAGACCGTGACCTGCTTGGTCTGGCCCAGCCTATGGGCGCGGTCCATGGCCTGCTGGTCCACCGTCGGGTTCCAGTCCGAGTCGTAGAAGATAACCTGCAAAACAGGGAAGGGAAAATTAGAACATGAAAATGACACTTTCGCAAATTAGGATTGAACATGAATATGACACTTTCGTAAATTAGGGCTGAACATGAAAATGACACTTTTGCAATTTATGATTGAATATGAAAATGACAATTTGCAATTTAGGATTGGTGTTTGCTGGCAGATAAGGGCGATGTCCTTATTTCTAGGCATGGGCGGTGTTTTCACAATTATCGTTATTGTATATTATGTCATCATGTCAATGCTACCGCTGATGATAATACCAGGAACACTAAAACCTATTGCGATTAATTGCCCTGTCATTACTGTTCCTGTTCTTTACCACAGACCTATGGCCCCAGATTAGTTTTTCATCTTTGTTTTAGTAGGAGCCAGATTTTGTACATTCCATTTTCAATATGTATATGTTGGAAAATGTTATGGAAAAAAATGACATCCCATAAAAAAAAAATATTACCGATCCATATAAATATACAGCAGAAGTATCCAAACCACAACAAACATTTACACAGACAGCAAAACGATCAAAAACAACTTCCCAAACGCCCATCAACCATCAACCACAAAAAAACGGTTCAGCAGTTGTGGACCCTCACTACCATCCGTCATAGAAAACGGCCCAGCGATAAACGTCTGAGAAAACGACTCAAACTTATGGGATACTCCGATAATTTTACACCGCGGCATTACAACCCCACGATAATGATCCCTCGTTTACATTCCCGTGCTCTCTGAAGTAGGGACTAAGACAACATATACCACACAAATAATGAAGAAAAAAACAATAAACCCAGACGTTACAAAAACAAAAAAAACATTTAAACAAAAAGGAAGATAACGAACTGCTACACAAACACATATTTTTTTTTTATAACTCAAACCACTACGATCTCCGCCTCAAGCAGGAATTTCTATCTCTTCAACAGTTTATCGGCTGGTCTTGCGCGATTACAGGAGTCGTAAAATCTAATGTCTTGCATCAGAAGGTTTAACGACCGCCTTTCTCCTTATCTCTCTTTCCTTCCTCCTCTCTGATCATTTTTTTTTTCATTCTCTCTCTTTCTTTCGGTGATTTATATTCTATTCTTCATATTTTTTTTCGCTGTATTTTCATAATGAACGGAGATATGAGTGCTTGCAGAGACAATGCAAGTGAATGAGTGGGTGAGTGAAGGAAGGAGAGGAACGGAGGGAGGGAGAGGGAGAGGGAGGGGGAGGGGGAGAGAGAGGGAGGGAGGGAGAGAAAGAGAGAGGGGGGGAAGGTGAGGTAGGTAGGGAGGGAGGGAGGGAGGGAAGGAGAGAGAGAGAGAGAGAGAGAGAGAGAAGGGAGGGAGGGAAGGAGAGAGAGAGAGAGAGGAGAGAGAGAGAGAGAGAGAGAGAGAGAGAGAGAGAGAGAGAGAGAGAGAGAGAGAGAGAGAGGGGAGAGAGAGAGAGAGGGGGGGGGGGAGAGAGAGGGGGGGGGAGGGAGGGAGGGAGAGAGAGAGAGGGAGGGGGGGAGAGAGAGAGAGAGAGAGAGAGAGAGAGAGAGAGAGAGAGAGAGAGAGAGAGAGAGAGAGAGAGAGAGAGAGAGGGGAGGGGGAGGGGGAGAGGGAGGGAGGGAGAGAGAGAGAGAGAGAGAGAGAGAGAGAGAGAGAGAGAGAGAGAGAGAGAGAGAGAGAGAGAGAGAGAGAGAGAGAGAGAGAGAGAGAGAGGTTGGAAGAAACAGAAAACCAAATCCCCCCCGAGACAGGTGGGAAAGAAACACACCAAACACACGTATCCCTTTACCAAACAACAGACAGAGAAAACAAGAAACACCCCTTTTTAGTACGATTTTTAATACGAACTGAAGCACAACCGCTTCCTTAATGGCTCCATCGCTTCCCACATATCCCATTCCCAATCTCCCCTTCCCCCCCTCTTACCCACCCCTCCCCCTTCTCTACCCCCACCCATCCATCCCCCTTCCAATCAAAACAAACATAAAAATCCCCCACCATATAATTTCCTACGAGGTTTAATCGTTTCGCTTATTGACACATCTGGTCCCTTGGCACACACGCACGCATGTACGCACGCACTCATTCTGCAACTTCTACCATCAACGTATGCAACGTGCGGCGAACTGCGAGCAAAATGCACACATGAGTGAATAAATGCATTCGTTAACAGAACCACGTAAAAAAAAATCTTTACGTATCCACGCCTGAAAAGATTGCATTGCAACGAATTCTCCAGAGATAAAAATAATAACAATGAAGAAATTCGCAATGCAAGATGCACATTTACGGTTCAAGTGATTAATTACGTCAGTCTGAAGGTGTAATTGTTGCTCAAGGGATTCATTACGTGATTCCGAAGAAGATGCAACTCCCGGAAAACGTCAATTGCAAGTCTGTGCACTATTCGTCTTCTCGTCTGTCTTTTTGTATGTTTATTCTCATCTCTATTTATTTGTCATTCACTTTTCTCTTCTCTCTTCTTGCGTTCCCGCACTTTTTATTTTCTAGCATAGTGACATGGGAATGAAAATAGGAAAAAGGTATGGGAAGAGAGAAAGAGAGAGAAGATAAGCGATAGAGAGTAGGAGAGAGAAGAAAATCGACAAAGAGAATAGGAGAGAGAAAGGGGAAGAAAATGAGGAGAGAGAGAGAGAGAAAACCGAGAGATTGATAGACAGACTGACAGAAAGAAAGGAAAAAAAATGAAGCGAGAGAAAAAGAGAAAAAGTGAGAGTGAGGGAGAAGAAGATGGATAGGAAGAGAGAAGAACAGACAGAGACAGCCAGCAGAACCGACCGACAGACACAGAAACATACAGCAAAGGAGCGAACTGAAGGAGAGGGTGATGGAGGACGGAGGCGGGAGGAGAGAGGTTGATGGGGGAGAGAAAAGCAAGAGGGAGGGGTAGAAGGGGGAGGGGTAGAAGGGGGAGGGGGGGGGGAGAAGAACGAACGCAGGGGCCGTGCAATCACCTGTTTCCGCCCCGCGCCGTTCGCTTTGCCTAACCCTCTCCCCCCCCCCCACACTCCCCCTCTCATCCTATCCTTTCCCCTCCCTCTCCCCCCTCTCATCCCCCTCTCCTCTCTTTCTCCCCCTCCTCCCGTTCTCCTCATACCGACCAACTTTTCCCCTCCCTCTCTCCCCCCTCCCCCATGCAATCCACCAACCCCTTTACCTCTTCACCCGCCTCCCTCCCCCCCCTCTCCCCCCTCCTCCCCCCTCCCACACCTGGTAATGGTTGCCCTGTGACTTGCCGGCAACAATTAAGTGCTTGCTGTTCAGGGAGGGGAAGAACAAGAGGGGGGTTGGGTGGAGGAGGGGGAGGGGGTGAGCAGTCGGGAAGGGGGGGAGGGGGTGAGCAGTCGGGAAGGGGGGAGGGGGAGGAGGAGATGGTGATAGAGGTATAGTAGGAGTAGAAGGAAGGGAATGAAACGTTTATGTGGTACTGGGAAGAGGAGGAGGCAGGGGAGCATCCCTCTCCCTTTATCTCCAGTTCTTGCTTCTACGAGTTATGCTTCATGCACACGAATTTATTCGGATTACGGATTGTCCTCTCTATGGCCTTCTCCCTATCTGTCTGTCTGTCTCTGTCACACACACACACACACACACACACGTATGTTTCCCTCTCCCTTCTACACTCAAGACAATTATCTCCTTCTGCCCCTGTCTCGAAGATGCTGCATCACCAAACGATCATTAACTCTCGCAATTACCAGGAGGAGCAGGAGGAAGAGGAGGCGGGGGAGAAATAGTAGAGGAAACAACAAAATAATAAAAATAATAATAACGCCAACAGCAATAACACGAACAACATTAATATGTGAAAACAACAACAATAATAATAATGATAATAATTATAATAAAAATAATAACAATGATGATAATAATAATAATAACAATAATAATAATAATAATAATAATAAAATAATAATAATAATAATAAAATAATAATAATAATAACAATGGTAATAAAAACATAACAATGGTACTAATCCTAACAAAAATACATATAATAATAATAATAATAATAATAATAACAACAACAACCAGGAATGAAGGCTTATACATTTAAGCGTGGTTTTTCACCTCCATTTCCACGTTCATCGAACCCAATTAACTCCCGCTAGCTCCTCACTTACTTAATGAAGGCAGGCTTATCCTTCATACTACACCGTCGTAAAATACACGAAAGCCCAACCATACTTCTACCTTGCAACGGTCTTCATCTTTGCAAATTGGCGTAATGGCCGTGTTAGATGATCACGGACGCACAGGGAACAAGCATTAATTAACTCCCTCATTTTTCCCCCTGAACTGCGTAATAATGTTTGTTCTCCGTAATAACTTCAGCAACGTTTGGATTTGTCTTTATCCTAAACGAACGATCGAACCACACAGCAAATACCCCGACGAGAAAATTATAAAGGCTGCATATTTTCGTCATCATCACCACCACTACTATTATTGTTACCACCATCGTGATCATTATTACCTTTATGAAGTGGACCATGTTTATAAATTGCAACACTGAGTGATAAGACAGAGAGAAGCGGGGGGGGCGGGGGGGTTATGGAGAGCGGGCGGGGGATAGGGGATAGAGAGGGAGAGAGGGAGAGCTAGAGGGGGAGGAAGGCTGGATTAGGATTAGGATGAGGATGAGGATGAGGTGGAATAGGAGGAGAAAGAGAGAGAGAGAGAGAATGGAAGTAGGGAAAGAGGGAGAGGGGAAACATGGACAGACAGATAGACAGATAGATAGTCAGATAGACATCATCCCCACCATAAACCCAACAACAACAAACCAAATGCAATGAAACATTATAATAACACAATGCCTTACCCCCTCCCCCCACCTACTCCCCCCACTCTATCCCCACGAACAAGCTCCCTAAGACTAATCATTACCGACATCTGCTAATTGGGGCGATGTGTAATTAGCATGCTATCATAAAAACGCCTTACGGACGAGAATCATGGAGGCAAGAAGATAGGGATGAAGAGAGG